TTTTTGATAAAACGTAAAAATGGTAAGTAAAATATTGATTGAAGTTGAATCTGTAATTAGACATAACTTTTATTGAAGCACTATATCAGCAAAGTTTTCTTAAGTTTGAGTACAATAAAGCGATAAAAACACTCCAAGTAGTTGGATGAGCTCGGTTGTAAAGTTTGACAATGGGTAAGAAGTAAACAGTTTATTTAATCTGTGCTTTGGATATGTGAAAATAGTTCTCGATTCGACACAGTCATTAAGTCGAAATTAAAAACAATCTCATTGTATTTCATTTGAAGTAGAATAAGAGTAGGCCCGTGTTGTACGGTTGTTCACGTTGTTTTTTAAGCCGTTTTCAAGAAAAAATATACATTATGTCCCCGGAATGAATTTACAAGAGGAAAAAATTTTTTATCTTTGATTTTAACTGAAGAGGAAAAACATTTTTTACTTTACCTAAAACTACCAAATCTGATGTAATTAAAACTTCATTATTCTGATTCCCATCACATTGGCGGTTTTACTTTTTTGACAACGATGTCACTTTGACAAAAGTTAAATAACAAAAATGTTTGTGAAAAACATAATTTTAATAAATCGCTCTCAAAAAAATAAGACTGCCAATGTGATAAGATTCAAACAGCAGAGAAAAATTATAAGTCCTTGCAGTTCTTACATTAACCAAAGCCATTTTTTTTTCTTCTTGTAAACTTAATCGGGACATACTGCATAATTTTTTTACGTATTAAACATTTTACATTATTTTCTGTTAGGGATCAGAAAGGTGAATAGCAAGTACGGAACCAAGCGGTTTTTTCGTAAACCATGAAACGACCCTTCCTTGGGTTAATTTCAGAAAATCTTCGTGATGAGCTCGGAACGCAATTTTAAAAATTTATTAAAAAAACCTACTGGTTAATTTTTTTTATTTAATTAGAACTTATGTTTAGATCATAGTCTTTAATTAAAAAAATGTGTAACAGTAGGTTGCTATTACAATTTTTTTTACAAAACTCGAAAACTAAAAGGATTTTCGAAATTTTTATTTTTGATAAACGGTCACAATTTAATTGTACTTTACGCTACACTAATTATTTTTTTCGTAATGTGGTTAGTTTGCGAAAAAAAACCGCTTGGTTCCATACTTTTTATATAGATTTAGGTATAAATAGAAATTAGGTACATAAATACATACAGTGGAACTCCTCTATAACGAGTCCCGGTTATAACGAGTAAATTGTCTGGTTCCTTGCCGTTTTATATACTACTCTATGTAAAATTCTCCCTCTAGCGAGTATTTTTCTGGAATCGAGGTGGATATAGCAAAACTTTTATTTTGTCTAAGATTGGTAAAAGCGAGAAATTTTGAGAAATTTCCGAAAACAGATCGGTTATAACGAGAGTTCCTAGAAGAAATAATAATCCTGCCAGTCTCCATTACGAATTGTGTACTAGAATTTCTTTAGAAATGTTGTTTTTGTCTTATTTTTCTCACTTTCTCAGTCTTGAACTTTTTAAGCAGAGAACACTTCGTCTTTCTGTATCTATATGTCGTCCTCGAAAAGAAAATCATTTTCTATCAAAGAAAAAATATCAATAATAAAACAGTTCGAAAGTGGTAAAAAGCAAGCTGTAATCTGTAAAGAGAAAAATTTACAGAGTTCTACATTGGCAACAATTTTTGAAATGCTTCATTCAACAAACAAAAATTACAGATTTTTTTTTAAATATTGTTTTAAACTTCTTTAATATTCGTATTTAATAAATAATTTGCATAGTACATGTGTAAAAACTTTTATTATCCATGACTGTTTATAGCGCAAATCGGTTATAACGAATAACAAATACGTTGGCGCTTGAGTTGTCGTTATAGTTCTACTGTATTAAAAAAAAAACTTGTTTCAGTTTAGGGGCGGCAATTTCAAATTTTCACAATTAGCACGGGCCTAAATAAGAGTGATGTTAAAAAAATAAATAAAAACAATGTTAAAGTACTCTTGATGCAAGTTACTCCAGGACTAGCATTCAAAATAGTGGGTGCGAATTAATTCCATTTTGTATCAAACTGTTTATTAACGCTATGTAAAATTTCATTAATTAGGTTGTTGCAGATAATTGACAATTACGTAGCATCAGCTCGACCAGGTGGTGAATTGTTAATACAATATTGATCTCCACACAGGTTTAACATTTTGAACGGTTGAGGAATTTAATTAAATTACTAATGAAAATTTGTTATATAAACTAGTCTGCATTGCACGCATTAGAGCTTCATACAGAGTTGTTTACAGTTTAATGTGGTTATAATTAATTAAAACGAAACTGGCGATATGAATTTCTAGAATTGTGAACCCCAGAAAACCGATTTCTTAACCGTGCAGTAAATTAGCCTCTTTTGAATAATTCATCAAAGCTCGAGCTACATCCGATTATTTGTTTCGAAAAAATGTCGGCTCGATAAATATGCAAATGTGTGGAAAACTCAACATTGCATCGCGACTTGACAAGGAAATTTTTACCATTGAGGCTAGACTTTCGATAATAATAATTTAATTAAAATGTGCGGCGGCGTTGTCGTCTCCACAAAGTTGAAGGCCAGGATATCTGTTTCCTGTGGGATGTAGTGGGGTGCTTTGTTGACACTCACAAGTGTGCTACACGTTATAGTTTCCGAAATCATGAACTTGGATTTTTCTCATGATTTATTGCGGTAACGGGGCATTTCCTAACCAAAGAGGATGTTTCCGGTGAACCAGTTAATTTGCTAATTTTCACTTGACCTCCGGCAATTCGCAATGCCCCTAGTTAAAACTAACAAGTTTCCCTACACGGAGATGCTATTATCTCTAATTATTTCTTCGCTTCCAAATCCTCAATGCAAATTCTGATTTAACTCAACACCTACGTGGCCGGCTAAATAAAATCGCATGATCCATCAACAAATGTTTCACAATAATTGCAGTTTTTTTTGGCATAAACATCACTTTTTTCAGTGGCCGCGACGACCAAATGCAAATATAAGTGGGCCTGACTTTTCTAGTTCCTTCCGGTAAACCCCACCAAAACACCGAAAGAAAGAAATCGAAACGTTAGCCCAGTTATCTATGAAGAGTTGTTTGTGTATTTACCGATTATATAAATATCCACAATGCTTGTAGTTTTGAAGCTTTCTTCATGTGGGAACTATTCTGTAATAAATAAGTTTCTCGACAAACTTATTTATTAATCATTGAATAAATACCCAGAAAATGAGAATGCGCATGCATAATGCCTAATTTCGTCGAAATTTGAAATTCATATTTTGTTTCTAAAAAAATTTTTTTGAGCTCAAATCATTTACGGAATAATTCAAACTTAGGTATGATAAAGTCGTCAGGTTACAATATGGAACGCACTTATCTAAAATTAACGCAAGAGCAATGAACTTGGAAAAAATAAATTCACCATGCAAAGTAAATGATAACATCGCACGATAACACATAATTTTTTATCATATATGAAAAGAATCAGTGATTTATTTTCCCTAACATCAATAACAATAGGTCGTTTGTGACAGGAAATCGACAAAAATCACCCCAAAAACAATGACCCTAAAAACCTTGAACTGGGCAGGTGTCAGAATTTGTTTAACTAGGTTTGCGGAGTGGAGAGTGTAACATTGAAAATCTTAATTAATAAACGATTTAATTGTCAACAAGTTTTTCGATATTTCCACTTATATGGTAAAATACGTGTTTTTGCAATTTGTAACTGATGAAAAACAAAAAATGTAAGTTTCTAATCGCCTTATTTCAATTAAAACTTGACATACTTAAATCAGTTAATCAACTAATTAATGTTCGTAATATTTACTTAAAACTAGGTGCTGAGCTTTTTATACTACAATCGATCTTAACATAATAAATACAGGCTACCGTTTAATTATTCAAGTCAGACAAATTCTCTTTTCAGAATACTGAAGTAAAATATAATTGACACAAAGTTTGTTTTTAACTCTTTCTCTGGAAGCTGCGACGGTAAATATTGTAATTGAATGTTTTAATTAAAAAGATGTGTAAATATTTTTCACGATTTAGTCAAATGATATTTTTTGGACCTAAATTCTATCAATACAAGTGCCCATTTTACGATATTCCTCAGACAGTCTTACTGGAGCAACTATAAAAATCTTCTTTGTGAAGGTTGCTTTTAGTGAAGAACATATTCTACTCCATTAAAACTTGCTTTTACATGAATCGTGTATTTTTCGATGCTACTGAAAATTTTAAATGAAAAATAAATAAGTCCGCATAAAGTTCATTGAACACGAAAGCACAAAATCAATAGGTGCAGTAAGAAGATGAAACCAAGTAGGGATTTAGTTCTTACAAATCCAATACAGTGTCACGTCTGAACTGTCAAATGCTCAGACAAAATTAATCAAAACCCAAAACTACCTGCTATTCACCCAACCTTATTTTCTACCATCTTAGCGACGAGCTTTCACCACTTTTAAATTCAAAGTTTCCTTTAATCTCTGCAGCTTGTAAACACATGAACCCTTCTCATCAACCCCTTAATTAACCGTGTCACACGGGGGTCGATATCAAACACTTCACTGTGCATCTTATTGTTGCCCTTTAAACTCTAAATTTTCATAAAACAAGTACAATTTTTGCTCCTCTCGCCAACCCCCTTGTCGAAAGAAGTTGAAATACAAAATTTGAAGAATTTTTCAAACAAAATTCGCTTTATGAAAGTTATGTTGGCTAACAATGTCATTTTTTTACGTACAGCCAAAACTCGAAATTTAAATTATGTACAAAGAGATTACAGCAACATGTGTAGAAAAAGTCTCTACATTATAACACTATTTATCATTTTTAACTAAAGTACTAAAAAAATAATAAACACTTAATTGAGACTTGTATTTTACTATTATAAAGGCTAATTTTTTTGGGATTAAAAAATAGCAGAAAGTATTTTTTAAAATGGTGTAATGTTTCTTGAATGTAGTTTTATAGAAAGCCAAATAGTTTACAACCAAATTTATTGAACAAAAGATTTCAAATAGACAATTATATATTCCATCATAATAAAACAAGTTTTTGTATCACAATAATGTCCCCTAATCCAATTTAGTCCCTTTTTTCTTCGTTTCGGTGACAGTTTCAAACTTCAAATCTTCATTGAGTTTCTTCGCTAAAAAGTACAATTCGGCGAGTGCAATAGTTAGAGCGCAAATAATGCCTAAAAGGAGCCTAAATCCAAAATCTAGACTCCCTAACAGCAACTCCAAACCAATGAAACCAAAAGCGAAACCGGCAAGAACTGAGATAATAAACTGACCAATCGCAATTAAGTGGCGATTCATTTGTTTCACTGAAATTTAGTTATAATAAAAGGGTTAGTTAATTTGTGAAACTTACTTTGGTATGAAATTGTGTCTTCTGGATGTTTCCTCCGGATGTTGTCAACATTTTTAGTCATGTTGTTGTAAGCTTTGTTCTGTTGGGAGGCTCTCAAACGTTCACAGCGTTTTTCTAGTTCAGCATTGCGAGGTATTTCGCTATTTTTGGGTAAAACAATTTCTGAACCTTCAAGAAGTGCATGAAGGTATTTCTTGTCTGTTTTACCCTCATTATCTTTCTGAATGTAATTGTACAACCAATGCAAGTCTTGCAAATTTAAGAGTTTATCATTCTTCAAAATTATTGCTTCTTCAGATAAAGGCAACTTTGTAATGTCAATTTTAGAATCGAGTTTTAGCGATTTGATAAACTGACGGTCTTCTCCGGTTAACAAATACTTGAAATCTGCTGGTTTACTTTTTACATCTTGCTTCACTTTGTTTTTATACAGAATGTTAGCTACACCTAATGGAATATCAGGAGACACTTTTATCGTGTTTATGTAATCACAGAGTGATTTTGATGGTTTTATATGAATAGAAGGGTTGGTTATTGGTCCAGTATTCATCACTTCAAATGCGTAGTTTCTTTTCTAACTCCAAATAGATTTTTTTAAGGTTTTCTTCCTTACTTTCTGTTAGGGAATTGATTTCAGAGTACGTTGTGGTAATGTAGTCCATAAAACTTTCCCAATCCGCTTTTCTTTGTTGTTTAGTTTTTTCCAAATGGTCACACTGAAAAAATAAATGAGACATTGCAAAAGCAAAAAACAAACCCTAACCTCTTTAAATTTCTTCTCCAAATCAGCGAAACAACTACACACACTTAACGCTTGTTGTAACTCGTTGTTAGTTTGCGGTAACACTTGATCAACAGTTTGTTTAAAACGATCGATTTCGGTGTCTTTAATATCGGTAATATTTTCAATAACTTTAAATAAGTTATCCACTTCTGTTTCGCCTCTTTTCAGCTGTGAAACAAATGAATGATACAAAGTAGGCCATATAACCTCAGATTGTAAAATAATCACCTCAAATTCCTGCAACGTAAAATGAATTTCCCCACATAGAAAGCTTTTATGATCAAACTGTCTATTCCAAATTGTTCCAATATCTAAAAGTGTCAAAATCATTTGATAGTTTCGTTTTTCTGATGTTTATACCGCACCCTTAGCGATGTCAGACATTTTCAGTTGGATCATATGATCGGCGATGTAGTTGACCAGCTGAAATAATGTCTGTATTACTGGTTGTCTACACTCTACCACCAGTGGTGGGTGAAGAGGAGGGGGCAAAATATCAATTTATTTGGGCGGGCAACAACTTAACTTTCAAATAATTGTACTATTAGTGAATTTAATAAAGGCCAGAAATGTGTTTTGATATATTTTTTGTCTAGTTTTTTGTATTGGGATGAGTCAGAGTTGACTGTGCGACTGTAGAGTAAAAGTCCCTAGTTTGGCGTACTAAAATTCCTAGGTGGTGTTGTGATGTATACAACAGTTGGCATAAGTGTGTAATAGAAGTGATCAACAATCTCTGAAATAGCAGAAGCAATGAATGCAATATATCAATAAATGGTTTGTGATAATGGTTGTGGGGGAGTGAAATATTGAAAGTGCGTATAGTGATGGTTTTTACGATGTGTCGGTTGTGTGAAGCTCTTATGAGCACTAAATAAAGTGATAAACTGATACTATTTTGACTTATTTCTATTAGAATACATGATGCCTACTGTAGTCGGAGTTTCTGAATTTGTAAAAGAAACTAAGGATGATTACCATTCCCCAATTACTTCAACTTTCGTATCCAGAATGCCACAATTCAAAAATACCATTTCTCAATTGGAAGAGGTTCGTAAAATGATTACATCAATCAATAGACACTTTCCCTTTTACTCCGAATACTTTTCATTATTTTAATTAGAAATATTAAATTCGTATGACATAGATTTCGGCATTTCGCTGATTTGCAATTACCACAAAACTCGTCTTGGCTAACACTCAAAATGCTGTTTACTTATTTGTAACTTATATTTTTAGACTCGTTTACTTTGATACCCACAAATGTTGATTTTTCCAAACACAGGATATCCCTGATATCACACTTCCACCAGGAAATTGTAATAAAAGCAAGCCACAAAGTTTTCACATATTATTAATGTCGATTTGACCCAATTTAATAACGTACAAAAGCCCCAACACCCCTCAATTTGTGCAAACATTTAACAAAAGACACAATTATTTAAATCATTTTCCCATTGTCATTGTTATATTCATTGTACAACATTCCTTTACCTAATTTGCACACACGCAGTTTGTACCTCCTTAAAAAACACTAATTGCGAAAATTTCACACAAACATAAAAATCTCATTGCCAAATTTACTGTCAACAACTCATTTGAATCAAATTTTGATTGTTTTGACGTTTGTTGATCTCCGATGTGTAATTGTTTAAATAAACTTATTTTAAGTAATAACACTTTAGGTAAACTGAAATCGAGATAAAAAATAATATCAGTACACATTTAAAAGGTAGTCAAGCTGCTTATCATTCGGTTGCTAAACAGTTGAAGAGGCCTAAATTTAGATCTGCGAATTACATTTTGTGCTACTTGGCCAGTTGGTAGTAAAAACATCAATCATTAAACCATCTGTTTTAATATAGTTTCACCCAAACGAATCAAATTTCGGAAATGTGACGAACACAATTGTAATGTTTGGCTACTTGTTTTTCATAAAACCACCTGAAAATGTCTGACCTATGATCATCAGAGCGTTCAGTTCGAGTTCGGTGGGTTTTTAATTTGAATTTTGCAGATTGTGACTCCTAATTGTTTCAAATGACTAACATACCAGAGAGAGTTCGTAAAACATTAAAATTTGAGTTAAAGTTTGACTATTTGTTTAAAATTCCATTCTACCGGTTGTAAGTCACGAGTTTTCTTAAAAAATAAATTTGCAGTGTGACAGTTTTGCAATTTTTTCTAGTCAAAATGGGATGGCCCAGACCTGGTTGTGGTCTTACCATTCTTGTAAAACCAGTAACATTGAAGAGAGAAAGTAACATTTTTGGATTATCTGGCTAATAAGTCATAAATATTGTATCAGCACATCTGTTATTAAAAATCGATTTTATAATTGGCAATTTTGTTCTAAGTTTTTTACGAACGATATTAGCTTCGTGATACTTTATAAGGTCAAAATTTACTAGCACCGTAAATTTAAAACTTAGTTTATGGTTTGTTGAATATTTTAGTCTTGTGATAGTTAAGCGTGTCATCCACGCACTTGTAATTTGACCAACAATCTAATTAGTCGTCTTGAGGGTAATTACATAATGTTACAATGGTGGGTGTTTTGAAACTTTCGTGAAATTCTTTTCGTAATGACTTGTTTCCAACATTTACGGATGTGCCACATTTATGCTAAGAAATCATATAGAACCTGTTTTGTTTTTTTGGAAATTGCATTAATCTGTGCTTGGGTGGAAATTGTTTGGGTGTGTAAATATAATCAAGATAACCGACTTAACGAGCGTTTTATTCACAAATACCCCAAATAAAAATATCATACAAAACTATGCAACTGAATCAAAACTTTTCAACAATTCCGCCGTGACTTCCGCTCTTTTATAAGATTATCACTCGGCGTATCAGCTTCCGACGTGTCCAATACATTGATATTTTGTTATTTTGGAACCTTGGTTGAGTTTTTGCTTCGCAAATCTTCGTCAAGTGGTTAAATTTTATCAATGTTCAATTTATTGTTGCTTTTGGTGGCATCTTTCTTTGAGACGAAATTCTAGTTGACTAATCCGGATGTTTATTAAATTAGCGTATGCAAATAGGTATGAATGAAAAAAATTGTGTAAATGCTTGACGAAACCTTGCTTAGTCAACGTTGCATATTTTCATTGCTGAGGAATTAAAAATAATGCGATACGACATGCATTATCCATGCTTATCATTATCCAATAGTATATTATATTACAACGTAGAGAAGTGATTTTTATAGCCGAGCTGCGTAGCATCGAGGGAAATAATAAATGCGAGGCTATAAAAATCTTTACCGTGTTTTATATAACATTTTTTTACCCAAAAATACAACGGCAAAAAATAAATATAACCTTGACGTAACATGTCGTAATTCACAACTACTATTTTTGTTAATTTACTATTACCCACAGTAATTAATTACTTGCCTGAGTTTTTAACTCAAGTTGGAAGTATTATTTTATTTTTATCGTAAATTACATAGTCATAACACAAGGCGACAAAAAAAAGTCATGTGACAACTTAACACATTTTATAACATTTTGTTCGTTTCAGTGAGACAAATCAAATGCACTAAAAAATTTTTCAAAAAGTCCACACACTTTGAACTATTTTTTTTTTCTAATTTAAATGAATTTAAAATACTTTAACTTTAAAAAATCAAAATAACTATTATGCCGATTTCCTTCAAATAAAGACCATTCTAAAGGGATGGCCTTGCCCTTTAGGATGATATGAAATTTGAAATTGAATATTTGCAAACTTTTCTTCGAACAGTGTTCGAAGAAGTTCGAAGTAAATCGAAATATTCTAACAAAAACCCTACAAGTATTTTTTTTCTTTGTCACCATCGTGTAGAGCATCTCTTTATTAGTAAGAATCCAAATTTTTAAAATAATATACCGAGTAGTTTTCAAGATATGATTTTTTGAAGTTATTGGGCCATTTAGGAGAAATGCATGTTAATCTTACTTAAAATTGCATCAAATGTCACCCGAAACTTTGACAAGTTTACGTTTTATTCATTTTAAGTGAAATAATGTTCAAGTTGCAAGTTATTACAAAAATGCTGTACAAGACGAAAATGCTAAAAAGTCATTTTCATTTCCAGTTTGTGTGGAAAATTTCCAGGAGAGTTGTTGCCAACTCTGGAAGTTTAATCGTCGCCTACTCTAATTTATTTTTTTTAATATGAAATAAACTCATTTGTTCTTTTGACAGTTTTAACATAGACAGAAGGGTTAGAGATGGGGTTATTTTGTTTTTTAATGTGGACGTTTTAAGCTTTTTTGTACTTGTACTTGTGATAATAGTTTCTATTCTAGACATATTTATATCGAATATCGTTATTTACCCACCTCTAATCTATGATGAAAATGATTATTGAYCCTAGGAGAGAAAAACAACTTCACAACTTCTCGACAAACTAAATAATAATATTTTTTTTYAAATTGTGATGAAAACTAATTGTAATTAATTACTTTCCAGACGCTGGATTACGATCGAGATGGGCTGACTAAAATGCGGAAAGCAATTAAAGCAATCCACACATCTGGAAACGGTAAGCGGGAATGTTAATTTTCTGAGTACCAATACCCTGTTATTAACAACAATATATTTTATTATCGTTCATCAACACATTTCTAAGWCCTTGTACTGTCCTACAAATGCGAGTTTAACATCAAACTAATCAGCTGTTCTAATCACAACATTCATTCAGAAGAAACAGGTTTTAGAAATGCATAAATAAACTAAACGGATTTTTKGTCATTTCAATTTCAATATTTTTATGCGGGCATATCGTAAACATGCAATAAATTTGGTTTAATCGACTGGATTGAACCCTATTTCATTCAAGGGGTGATCAACGGCAACACGAATTATTATGTAAAACATAGGGAGACTGGATTTGATTTTACCCTTCGAAAATTTCGGATTTTTCCAATGCAAAATGGCAATTCGAAATACCAAGATGGCTTACGTGTCTTCTTGTTATTATTTACAATCGGTGCGCTTACATTTATGTAAGTTTTGGATTGGAGGAGATGAATTTTATTGTCGAAAACGTTCCACAACGTTGATTTTAAATCCCCGTAAACAACACACCTATTTCTAATTATATTTAGCATTCATTCGTTGTGTGCTGGTGAATATCCTAATTACAATAATGTCATTGTATGAACCCAAAACCACCAATAAATTATTGTGACTTTTCTATCGATCGCCGCCAATTATGTTTATGATGTCATTAACCCAACTCGTAGACCGGAAATTGTTAATTGAAATTTGTCACCCTTTACCGGGGATGGATTTTGACTTTTTTAATCACGTACAAATTAGAAATTACAGGAAAGTCAGAAGGTTGTCGCATTTCCGGCGAAAAAAACAGTTAATTGTTTCGCTGATTATAATTTGGACGTGATCGGACTA